AGGAAAGGATTTCCATTTTATCTAAACACACTACCCTCTCTCACCATAAACATGCAAGAGATAGAATTGGAAGACTTGTGTGGTCCTTGCTATAATTAATAATTATAATGTGTATTTAATAATTTCTATAATTCTTTGGAAATATTGTATAGTGATAAGAGACACTCTATCCCCAAAAGAGTTACCTCTAACATAACATATCACTGGTTAATATTGAGAATATTATGCTGATGGCCTATTAATAATAATAATTAATAATTGCTTACACTTATATAGTGCTTTTCCAGACACTCCACTCAAAGCGCTTTACAGGTAATGGGGAGTCCCCTCCACCACCACCAATGTGCAGTATCCACCTGGATGATGTGACGGTAGCATCACATATTAAGGGTGAAATAGCTGTCAGTGTATCTGTGCTACCTTTGATATTAAATATTCATCAATCCACCATTTGTACAAGGTGGTGGAGAACGCCAGTGCCTAACCCAGCAAGCAATAGGTGCAAGGTGGGATACACCTTGGATGGATTAAAAATCCAGTACAGGGCTCACACAAACATATACGCACTCATACCAGGGCCACTTTTTCCCAGAAACCTGTTAACATATCATTATATCTTTGGAATGTGAGAGGAAACCGGAGCATCTGGGGGAAACCCACAAAAACATTGGGAGAATATGCACTACAACTCCATGCAGATGTGATTTTTCATTTGAAAGAAAAAACTTGTAGACATTCTGGCTCTCAAGAATCAAGGTTGCTTTAATTGAAAAACATATTTCCTTAATTAGTCAATAATTTAAAAGTGATCCTAGTATTCTAAGTACAGATTATTCATGGTGACAGATTGTGTTTATGCTTTGCAGCACCATGGATGGAAAAATAGTCTTTGTCAGTTTTCATTGTTATTCTGTTTTCAATAAACCTTCCCACTTATCCTAACATAGCTTAATTGCTAGTTCTGCCTTACCTGTGTTGTACCATTGTTAGGCCATATCTATATATTACCATAGTAATTATCAAATAACCAGCAGCACCTGGCTAGAAAATGTACAGAAACTGCACCAGGTGTGGCAAAGTGTGAATAAATATGTAGGCTGGTGGTAGGTGTTTTATAAGTCAGCTCTGGGAAAAAGGAAGTTGAGTTTGTTTGTGTGACGGGTAAGTGGCTTTTTCTCAGTGTGATTTTGCTTGTTTTGTGACTCTATTGTTATTATCTTGTTGCTGTTTGCTGTTGCCTAATTAGGATTGTAGTTTGAATTACAAATGCCTGCACCAGTGAGACTGTGGGGCACAGTGCTTAAGTACTGGCTCCAGAGTAACAAAACCTCATCTAGCTAAATCCCTCAACCAATGGTGAGGGGTTGTCTCAACTATTGATGTGAGGATTTTTTGGGGAGACCCCTATTAAGCTCTTTTAAAACTACTTTACTTCCTTAAATGAGTGAACCTATTGGAGGTGAAAGAATTGAAAGGGTATTGCTAGATCATAGAACTACAGTATGAGATTCTGTTGCTTTCTCCTCTTCTCTCACACCTGAAAGGCTTGACCATAATGGTGCTTCCTTTTTTTTTTTTGTAAGGTATTAAGCTTTACATGTTTCTTTGTGGCCCATCTTAAATCTACTTGTGTAGTCCAGCTTTTACTCTGCTCCTTTCTCATGGTTGAAGGTGTTTAGGGCAGCCATTATTTCTAAATGTCCTGCTGCACCTTGGTGCCTGGTCTCAGTCCTAAGTGGTAATACTATACTCCCATTTGACCAACTTTCAAATCCTGTAGCTTCTTGGTCATATGTACCACTAAAACCTCTGTAGTGCTCTGGGTTAACTGACATCTAGTATTTGTACCTGGTAATGATTATTGGACTAATGCACCTTTATCTTATTTCAGGGGAAGGCCTTTGTTTACTTGTGAGAAATCTTTAAAGTGTGGGGAGATGTCCAGGTATGAATTGGCTACATGTAGTAGTAACCCTGCTTGTTTTAAATATAGTTGGATCCTTTATGGTACTTGCTCAAAGAAAGCAATTAAGTTGATCCAATCTAAATTGTAATAAATGAGTATTCAGCACAGTAACTGAAATGGTAAATTGTCAATTGGCACCACTAGGGTGGAGAACCTGGGGAAAAATGCTTACTGCAATGGTTGTGAGGTAATGCAGGTTTAAATTTAACATCCAGCAAATGGATGAAGAGAATCCAAAAGCAATTGCTTCTGCTTAAATTTGAACTGCACTGTTGTGGGCCAAGTACTAGATATGCAATAGTAATACCATTGATTTTATTTCCAGCTTAGTTGTCCAAGGTGGCTAAAGTACCAACAGCCTGATCTTTCATTAAGAAACCAGTGGCTGGTCCTTTTAGCATCTATCCTTGTAATTAAAAGGGTGTATATTAAGTAAAGGGGTAAGCCTTCTTACACCTTCAAAAGTGGATTCTTAGTGTGCAATGAGAGGAGACCATAGTATTATAAAATTTTACAATAACTGAATACAGTTGGTAAGCAAAGAGAGACATGGAACTAATTGAATAAAAGTTCTCCCAATTAAGGTTTTTGAGAGGGCTTAGATGATGATATCCTTAGGGATAGAATTCCTGAGGTTTGGGGCATAGCAGGAGATGGCCTTGTCACCTGTACTATGCAAGACAGCCTTGGGGGACCAGAATTAGGTGAATGAAGGTTGTGAGGTGGGGAGTAGGATGGTCATCTGATTCTTGATGCAATAGTCTCAAAGAACAAATTAGAGGGGGCAACCAATTCAAGGTTCCTGCAAAAAAAACGGGGTATTGATGCTACTTTACAAATTCTGTGGCCACAGACCAACCCCAATAGGTTGAGTGCTCCTCTCTTTTTTTTTTTTTTTTTTTTTTTTTTTTTTTTTCTTCTGTGGTGCATTTGGTTAGAATGAAGAGGTTACTGGAAATGCCTGTTAATTGTACCACCTTCAATGTGAGATCTGCTTTCCTCCACAGCACATCTGTACGCCTTTCTTCCTCTCTGTCAAAAGGGGAGGAAGAAGCTGTAGCCAAAAGAAGAGAAATTGTCAATGCCGATCTAAAAACACTATTGGGGAAAGAGCTGCCAATGCAGCAGGTACAGTATGTTGGAGGTAGCTTTATTGGAGTTAATGATCTTTTGGAGATCGTCCAGTGTTAAGATATCTCTTCCTTCTCCAGACCCCTGTTATTGCCATCCTGGGCTCTGGTGGGGGTCTCCGTGCCATGATTGCTTTGCTTGGCTCACTGTGTGGATTAAAGGAAACTGGATTGTTGGACTCGGCCATGTATCTCTGTGGGGTCTCTGGGTCCACCTGGTGAGGAACCTGTTAATTGACAGCTTGTTGGGGGGTTGTGGTGGGTACGTGCTCAGCAGTGCACCATAAAAGGGATAGAGATAAGGGTGGGGAGGGAACGTGTCTTCCCAATGAATCTTTCAGAATATGAAAGTTCCAGTTGCCAAAGATCTGACATACTCTAAAAGTGGTTGACTATTCAGAGGTTTGGAAAGTAAGCCATCTAATTCTAAAATTGGAATAAAACCCCATTAGTACAACAACGCAAAAAATGTATTCTCCATAGAATGCTAATCAGTTTAAATCTATTCTTGGTGGGTAAGCTTTCAACAAAATGAAATACAAATCACATTAGATGCTAATTTGCCTTGCATGTTTGTAGGCACTAATCTTGGCTTTTATTTCTCAAAGGGCTATGTCTTCAGTTTGTGAAAACCCATCATGGGTAAAGGAGTTAGATCTCTTGGTCACCAAAATACTGGCCAGTCTTGGAAGCTCAGGCTTTGGGTTCTCTAAAGTGATGGAAAAGCTGGGGAACAGCAGGCCTTTGCTGGACCGACTGCTGGAGGCGTCCAAGACGGATGTTTTCTCCTGCACCAATATCTGGGGAACTCTGATTGTGAGCCAGATGATTAAGAAGGTAAAACCTGGTTTCCAATGCACACTGAGCTCAAAGCAGCACTTCACGTTACTCAATTTCTTTGATCTTTTTTTTTTTTTTTTTCCAGCTGTACACCTGCACTCTGCCTGAGCACAATGATCCACTTATTAGTGGAAAGCTCCCTTACCCTATTTATGCAGCCATTGATAAAGACCTCCTTAATACTGAGAAGCCAGAACTGTCTCCACCAGGTACCAATTCCTCCATACTTAAGACAAGGTTATGTCCAGGTGCAGCATTTTTCTCAGTTGGGCTCATCCGTTATTGCCTTTCTAAATGGAATTGCTTCAGTGTAGAAAAGCATGCCACTACTCTCGCACTCATTCTAAAGACCCCTAATCCAGAGGATGCCCTTCTGATACAATAATGGGGCTCTTGGCATACTAAGTGACTTATATTCTTCACTCCAAAAGATTATAGATGGTGAAGCTGAAGCATTTTAATGAGACTTTCAATTTCCTTGAACAGAAATGTGGTTTGAGTTCACACCGTATGAAGCAGGATTTCCTGCATATGGGGCTTTTATTAGCACCAAGAACTTTGGAAGTCAGTTTGAGAAGGGAGAACTAAAACATCCCCACCCACAGCATGACTTGTGCTATTTACAAGGTGAGAGCTTCCCTGCTTGGCTTCAAAAAGAGTAGTACTCCCACAATGGCAGCATTTTTAAAGCTTTTTCTTTTTCTCAGGCCTATGGGGGAGTGCTCTGGCAGTAAAGGAGATTTTGGAGAAATACGTAATGGGTAAATACAATTGGGCTATAAAATGTTTGTGTGTTGCACTGGTCAGTACTCCTGTTCATTTTATATTGGACAGCATTTGAACAGTAACCTGTGCTGCAGGGTTTTTTTGAATTGCCTGCCAGTGAGTAGATATCCTCCTGAAGCTACATGCTTTTTTTTTTTTTTGCAATATTGGCAAGTAATCCTTCCATCTAAATTGGGAAGACCAAGAGTAATGTATAAACGTCTTTGCAGATTCTCTGAGGGATGAATTGGGTTTCATTTTCATTGCTGGAAAAACAAAAGGTAAGGACAGTTTGGCTTTTAAGATTAAGTATTGGAAGTGCTGCAACAGCTCTACTTTAGTCCCTGATAAATCATGTTAATAAAGGAATTTGTTTTGGGAGTAACTTGAGACCCTTGCTAAAGCTCAATGTATTTTCTGTAATGCAAAACACTTGGGCAATAATCACTACAAGGATCCATTTAGGAGAATCTGGAACTGGTTCCTGTTGCTCTCCTCTTGGTAATATGCAGTTTTGTTTAAAAAACGCAATAGAGTAGTACAAGCCAGTAATGTTTTTTTGTGAGTGGGGGGGGGGAAACCCCAATACCTGTTTACATGGGTTGGGCACACTTGAATACAAAATCTACTGGCAAGCAGCACTATTCATATGGGCAAACTAAACATCTATTGGCTTTGAAAGTCCTGTATAAATCGAGATGAAATGAGCATGCCTTATGTAGGAAGGAGTACATGTCAATTACTGAAATGCAATTTGTCTGTTTTCTAGAAATTTTGGGTCTTGTGTGCAAAATGTTAAATGTACTTGAAAGCTGGCAGTGGGGCACCAACTACAACTTTCTGTATGGTTGTGATTCTCTCCTGTCGGGTGAGTTCAGATGCAATACAAGAACTTAATTTATATGGGGGGTTATAAAGGGAATGGACTTTTAAATGGGATATGGGAAATGCATTTAATCTCTCAGATGCTCTTGATCAGCTGGCACACTTAACACTATGAAAATGTTAATACTGTATGGACTTGCCAGAACTTAAAAGCACAGAATATCTGTAGTGCAGCTGAATTTACTTTGTCACCAATGGAAAGAAATCCTCTTCCACAGGAGAACAACCGCCGAGTGTGTCCTCTCTAGTGAATAACAAGTTCTTCTACCTGGTGGATGCCGGACTGGCTATAAACAGTGCTTACCCTCTTGTGCTCCGGCCGCAGCGCCAGGTGGATGTGATAATTTCCTGTGACTACAGTGCTGGAGATGACCCATTCCTGGTACAGATCCTGCTTTTTGCAACTCTTGCCATTCTCTTGAAAATGTTAATCTCGGCCCTTCAGGAATTATACGAATAGAGAGTGCAAAGTCTTGCTAGCTTGGTAAAACATTCATTATGCGTACTTGTCTTTTTTTAACAAAGCTCATGGGTTTTTGTCCAGTGTTTGTACAACACTGAGCCCTCAAACAGCCAGAAATGGCTTGCATTCCTCAAGCCATGAGGTATAACCTGCTACTTCAATAAACCAAGACATCCCAAAAAATGTTTAGTTGGAGTTCTCAAAGTACTTGGGTTTGCCTCTACCATCTGCCTTTGCTTTTTTTTCTTTTCTTAGTACAATCCAGTTGCATGTAGATTTTTAAAGTGACAGAAGTCCTTATGAACTCCCACCTACCCACCCCAAACTGCTGTGGTTTTCTCTTCTGTTCACTTCTCAAAGTACTTCCACTTTTCTCTCTAGACTGTAAAGCAGGCTGCAGGCTATGCAAAGGCAAATTCCATCCCTTTCCCTGAGATCCATGTTCCTGCTGGTGAGGTGGGGGACTGCTATGTATATAGTGGAGCTGGGGCTCCTACAGTCATCCACATGCCTCTGTTCAACAGTACCAATGACAAAAGTAAGTATAAATGAGCATTTACAGTTGGATTTCTCAAGGGCAAAGTGTCATCTTGGAAATACCTTGTTTTCCACAATGACTTGATGATAGTCAAGTCTCCTCTGGTGGCAATTTTATAGCTGTATTGCCTTCTCTAAGCTTTGGCAACAGTCTGTTTTGGTCCAAAACATGGCAGCAGAAAGGAGAAGGATCTTTCTTTTTTTTTTTTGCTTCCTGGGCTTTTATTGGAATGATGCACAATTTTGCAGGCTGTTTGTATTGAAAGTAGAACAGCTCTACTACAATTAAGTGTAGGCTGACCTCATGGCTGACTAGACGAGTAAGCGTCTGACCTGGTGGTAACACGGCACCCTAAATTCACCAACCTAGAAACCCGTTGCAATTTGGAAGCTGAAGATTCCATAGGTACAGAGGTAGGAATCTAGTTGCAGTAACTTGCAAATGAACTAATTCTTTCTGACCTCTCTTTGCAGTATGTGGCTTATCAGACTACCCGACACTGAAGTTTTCATACACTGAGAAGGAAGTTAACCGTTTATTTGAGGTGTCCAAGGATAACATTGTGCGAAATAAAAACAAATTACTTGAGGCAATAGGAAACAAGGTGGATCAGAAGGCTTCCTAAATGTCTGCTTGCAAGCTGCTGGTTTACTTGTGTGTATACTTGGGACACGTCCTTTGATGGATCCTTAACTGTATTGGAGCTTGTTCTTCAACTCTGTGGGTCCCACTTGTAAGTCACTTTGTGAATGTGAAACTAAAATTAAAACTATAATGCCATGTGAAATGCTGTATGCCCTCTTCATTTAAGTTTAGTGGTCTTCTCTCATTTTATTCCCTTGTTCATTCTTCATTTTAGGTTGAATTGATAGTTAGGAATGAAGTCTTCCTGAAACTTAGTTGGGGTTGATGCAATCTGGAAGTGGATCCAAAATGAATTGGTGGGGGTGAACGTAGAATGTTGTGTAGATGACTTAATTGCCTTTGCCTGCTACCTTTGCATAAGGACCTGTTTAGTGCTCCTCCTGCAGGAGGAACAATGCATGTACTCTAGAAATACATTGCCTTTTTGGTTTTATTTCCAATACAAAATACTATGCAACAATTGGTTTAAAATCTACTTCCCATTCATGTATTGCTAAACATGATGGGTCTCCTAAGATTAACTTTTTTTGGTAGGGGGTTTGCCCCCCTCTTAGGGGAGAGCTTGAATTGTTACTGTCATGTTACTTGGCAACACTTTTATTGTGGAGCTTTTTTGGGTTGGTATGGATTTAAGTCCTCACACCTCCAATGCAAACGCCAGTGTATCCTGGGATATTAGACCAATATTGCAACTCGATCTGTTGCCTTAACTGGCAGTGTACTTCATGCATGTCTTCTGTGATTCTGCTGCATGCTAGCTCTGCAAGTGTCTGCTTTGTTCACATTTTATGTACAAGTGGGAACCTAGAAATTGGAGAGCAATGACTAAAGAAAAGCACTTGGTTCACATTTGAGTGACTGTTAAACAGTTGATCTTTATTTAAAAAAAATGTACAGTAAGACAAATGATTATGGATTCATGAACAACTAGAAGTAAAAATGCCTTCAGAGAAATCTTCAGTTGTAAGACTACACTGGCCTAGAAGAAAATTTGACTTTTAGACTGGCATGACTCAATCTCACTGCAGGTGCAGTCTTAGTTCTGGCCTGGATGCATGTTTAAGCCTTCAAGCTTGGGTAATGTGACTGGTGGGGCCTGAACACAGTGGGGTTTGGAGTCTAAACATGGAGTCTCTAACAGATGGGGGGGTTAGATGAGTATGACTGTTCATCCCTTCCCCTCATGTGCAGACAGGAGCTTGAAGACCAGATGTCACCACAGAATAGTGGGAGTGAGGCTGAACTGAAACTGTTCTAGCAGGACAATACTCCCTGTCTCGCTGGAAGAGCTGGTGTAAGGGCTATTCTCACTGATGACATTGATCTTGGATATGATTTCAGAAACAAAACCTACCAGAGTGGTTCCTTGTCCTGTCTCTTCATCATTCTCGCCTTCATAGTGATGTTTTATGACCCAGTGAGCTTTCATGAGTGGCCATATCCTAGGTGGTTTGGTCCCTTGTCCAGAATTATGTAGCCAGGGAAAAAAAATCCCACTGAGATAGCAAAGGGAGCCCTGAGCCAAAAATCTTTTCTAGAGCCTCATTAAGACTGTGTATGGGGGGAAAAAAACATACTGTTGCATTATTTAAGGACACTAATACATCAGCTGTCACTTGTATTTCAGAGTTCTGTGTTGCTCTCCAGAGTCTCCTGCTGGCTCAGTTCACGGCGCAGTAGCTGGTTGAAGGGGACCAAACCTCACTGAAACGCCTGACTTGGTTCCGTTTGACCAGCCACAGCAAGACGTGTTCCTTCAGTCCTGAGGGGGTGGGGGAGAGTGGGGTGGGGGAGGTCTGTTGAGGCTTCTTTCTCTGGTTGTAAAACGATAAACCAGCTCTTACCTGTAACAGAAGATTAAGATTGAAATTAAGAAAAATAGAATGCTGAATTTTATATTCAGGCCATTTTTAGTTTTTTTTTCTAATTTATCTACAATAGTGTCAATTATTCTGTAGAAGAGAAAATGCATGCCTACTGTAGGTAACTTTTCAGTGCAAAAACATAAGTCATTTGAGATTCAAGATGGAGCAAACTAAAAAGAAGATAGGTAGAAGAAGAGATGTTTCTTTCTGGGTGGATGGGGGCCTTGGCTGAGGTAATATGCTCTAAGTGCTTATCTCGTCATGCTAATTTGTTCAGTCCTGGGCAGGGAGTGGTATGTTGTTGTGCATTTGGATGTGGACCATCGAGTATAGATGACACTTCATACCCAGACATTAACACTGACACACTTGTGACAAGTCAAACACTGAGGACTGAAACTGTATCCCAGGGTTTAATTTTCAGTGGCAGATTAGACTCCTGCTTCTCTGGAGTTACTTTCCTTGGGAGGTGGTCTGCCAGCTCTACACACACCTGCCTCCTATCTCTCTTGCTAAGCCTTCCCAGAGCTATAATGGGCAACACCTGTGTCCTGTCAGTTGGGCCTTGACTACCACATGATAAAGCTGCTTGGCTCCAGCTGTGAGCTTGCTGAGCAGCCAGTATCCCCCATGCTTTCAGTGTAAATGCCACCAATTCATCTCGGGAGTGTGAATAACCACACAAATCCACATTTTTTCATGATTTTCAAGGGCTCTGGGATAACTTGTATGTTATATCTCATGAGAGTCAGGCAATGTCACACATTTTAACCTGCGGACACAGAGCACTGAGTGTACTGTATCTCTTTTAACAATAGAGGTTCAGGCAGGCATCATTTAACAAGCTGTTCATTTAAGAATCTAGGAAGTTAATTCATTGATATAAGGAAACCATTGGTATCAGTTTTTGCAGGATTTTGTTAGATAATTTAAGATAATTAAATGTCACTCAATGATTTTATGTGAACTATTATGTGAACTTTTATTTGAACTATCACTCTCTTGATGTGATGATGTGATGAGCACTCTCTTTGCAGATCACAGTAGGTGCATGTTTCACTTAAAATCAGCAATGTTTCTATCTATATTGAGTTTATTCATGCAAATTTATAGAAATATGATTCACAGAAAAGTATAACAGTATTATGTTTATGCTGATGATTGCTCTTCTAGTTCTGTAGTTTTATTGCAAGATTGCAGATTTAGTTTGCTAATGTTTATAAAACAATCTACCACGAACCCCCAAAACTTGTTTTCTTTAGAAAAGATATATAATGTACTGTTTCACATGTGTGCTGTATCTGGAAGATTTACATACAAGTATGATGGACGATAACTTTGCATAGTGAAGACCAATCACCCTGAAACCACACACTTCCTTACATTCCATAACTGACTTACTCATATGGGGATATAAGGAAGCATGTTGTCTCTGGGAGCATAGATATTAAGACTGCAGAGAGAACAACTGGAAATATACAGTAGCTTCAGGTTACAATGCACTCTTTTTTTGCAGCTCTTCGGGCTCTGGGGAAGCCCAAACTACAATTAAGCTGATACATTTACCATCTACTTTAGAAGACAAGCACAAGCATTTTTATACTATTATTTCTCTCTTAGACAATGTCAATAATCTCCACAAATCTGAAATATTAGAGTGAATTACAATGAAGTAAACACCACATCTTTTTTCCCTTCTAAATTATACTAATAGTATCCAATGTACTATTCTGTGAAGGTAACACGCAACGCTGTAGTCATAGGGAAGAAGCTTCTAATTACAAAAAATGTAGTATCTATTGGTTCATTGCATGACAGAATATTGTTTTTGGAATTGATAAAAGATGGACAACATGAAGTCTGAAACATGACTGAGAAACCTACAGTACGGTCCCTGTATCAGTTTTAGAAGTTATCTTTTCAGTAAAATAATGGTGAACGGTAGACAAGCCATACACATCACTGGTATATTGTCTCATATGGTGAAATTATGGCCAAGCAAAGGAGAGTATTGTACCTGCTGAAATACTTGTTAATGTGTGTTTTAAACCAGATAGCTAAAACAACAACAGCAACAAAAGCTGCTCTGGAGGTGTGTCAGAAAAAGCAACATGAGGATTTTCAAATTGTTTTTATGAAGTGTTAAGGAAAGACAGAGTAAAAAAAAAATCCACCCTGTATTGGGAGGCTGTTGTTAAGGGTCATGGCAAAAAATATTTCCTAGAACCACAGGGCACTCCTGGGAAGATGTGCCAGTCCCTGGCACAGCAGAGACAAGTTAGAGACAATAATAACTGAGCCAGCTAGCCTTTGAAAGGTGGCAGGAGATTGGAGCACAGACGCTTCACACAGATGGTGCCCCAGGAGCTGTGAGGCTGCAGCACTATATAGCTTTCCACAGTCCCATCCAGAATTAAAACAATATGTTTGAAAGATTTCTGTGATTTGGTGCTCCTCATATTAACCTATACACACATTGTAGTGCATGGCTAGCATTATCTGACTGCCTTGTTATGTGTATTTGGTAGTTCTTTGACACATATACATAGCTGTAATTTGGGGTACAAAACGTGAATAAAATTATTTCAGAACATCTCTCTAGTTATTCAATATAATAAATGCTTCTTTTCTGTTCGTCTTTATGCTGAAATAAGTTTTGACCAGGAGCATGTTGAGGAAGGGTGCTGGACAGCTGAATATTACCTTTACATGAAATGCTGTTCAGGTTTCCTTTCTTCTCCAAGCATCAGATTTGCCATCCACAGTCTTCATAAGTCTTCATAGTGTCACCTTCTTTGGGCTGGAGAATTAGACCAGGGAGGCTTGCAGTACCAGATTTACTCTGTGTAGCTTAGGTGTACAGAAAAGAAATCTATCAACGGCTCTATCACATGGCTATCACATGGCTACCTGGCAGTTAGCTTCAATAAGCTACAATTGTATAAAAGTGTATATGATATCTACATTATTTACAAATTTGGTGAGATATCTTAAATATTGTGTTAATATAATACTTTACATGTAACTTTAGAATATCAATCTGTCTCTGAGTAACAGTCACATCTCAATTCTTTCACGCTAGTTTGACTATTTATTTAGGAACAGTATTACATGTAATTTAATCTACAGATCTAGGTCTGTGAGCTCAGATCGGGCAGCTTTGTTTCTTAGTGTTTGTTTGCTACTCGATTTTGGTTTCCTTCCTCTGGGAAGCTCAGTGCATTTGTCCCTTGATTTACTGTCTCCTTACCCTCCTGGATGGGTGTGAAATCCTGCATTACTCTTAAAGTGTGAATATTGAGGCAAAGACAGATGGCACAGTTTATATTTTAACTTCCCAGAGAAAACACAAAACATTTCCATTTAGATTAAAGTAATATTTCTGATTGAACAGTACAGATTTATTTTTACCATGTCTGTTTGATAAATTAAACAAATGCCATGCTAATTTACTGTATATATATATATTCATAATTATTTGGAACTATTATTTTGGAGTTTCTTAATACTTTCTTTTTCAATGATTGCTAATAATTTGTCAGAAATTACATGTCACAAACTTTGGGACATTGATTACTATTACTCTTTGTGAAGTAAACTATATTTTTAATTTGGAAATTGACCCGTTAAGTATAAATCTGGTATAACAGAGTAAAGAGACTAATGTTTCATTAAAAGTATTACAAAAATCATCTAGGTTAAATTAAAAAATATATACCATGTTTCTAATTAGGCTGGTAGATTCAGTTTTAGAATTTTGTAACTTAGATTCAATGCAAATCTCTTCCTGTGCTTCCAGTCCGTAATTAAATGTTTTAACACTAGAAAACCTATTTCAAGCATGTTTGTATTAAAGTTTCATGTTTACATTGAAAGAACAAATTTGGTCAAATAATTAAACGGAGCAGACTTTGGTAACATTTCCTTAGGTTATTCCTCAAGCATTATTATTTTGAGATGTATATCAAGTATATATCTCTCTTAAATGGTAAAGCACTTTAGCAGCCAAACATGACGTGAATTGATGGGCAAAACACTCTTCGAAAGCGGTACCTTATCTTCAGAAGATCAGGATGTTTTCTGGTTTTAATGTTCTTCAATCATAATGTCCATGTTCCGTCACATTCTCTACCTCTCTCTCCGTCATTTTCTGCTATCTTCCCCAGTACCATCCTCATCTCTGGCCAGCTCCTGGATTGTGTCCAGAGAAGGCCATGCTGGCCTGCCTTTTCAATCCCCCCTCACCCCCTCCAAAGCGGCCTCCCACCTGTCAGTGTCCTTTAGAAGCCTGGGCCTCTCCTGTACCTCCTGTCCACCCCAATCAGTGTCGTGACAGGGAGCCCAGGCCTGTGAAATCACACCTCTCAGCTGTTCACACTCCACTTGAGACATCCTATACCCACTGCTCTATATTATATAGAATGTCAATGGCTCCTTTTTTTAAAAGGTTCATGGAAACAACTGTGGAAGGCTTGGCCTCCTTTTTTATTAGGCCACTGCACTGGAAAATGGTTTAGTGAGCACAGCTGAACAGTCCATCAGGGGTCTGATTCTGGCCTGTTCATCAGTTTTATATATTTATTTTTTTCCTACAATTTTTCCTTTTTCATGTTTTTATTCCTTTTGGTCTTCAGTAAAAAATGTGAAGTCATTTTAGGTGAGGTTTTTTAAAAAGATAGAAAGAATGTTGAGATTTACCACAAGGAAAGTGATCTTATTGAATCTGGCTGTATTAGTATGAAAATTAATTGAAAATAATTAATTGAAATTAATTGAAAACTTTATGAACAAATTTACATCAATAGCTCATTGGACAAATTATGTTATTTAAACTTTTCACAAGGTTTATTGATTGCAGTCTTGTTACTTAAGATAACTAGATACTGACCTCAAGTCGTAAGATTTAATTTATCTGCCGGACTTTGAAACAGCTTTTTCAAGTAGCTCTTGAAAAATATTTGATTTTTATTAATGCAAGAACAAGAAAATATATATCCAATTTCTCCCTGAGTAAAGAAGGCCACCAGGTTGCTCTTGGCATGACTGACAGCAGCCTGACCATGAAAGAAATTGTCCAGAGAATAAGATGTTCTGCATCCATAATCATCAGACTAGGCCAGAGAAACCAGGAAACCTGCTGTTAGAGGCAGGCCACATCCTGGTAAGCACAGGGTAACCTCATTGATCCAAGACGCATAGATCTGATAGATCTGATCTACATAATTATATTAGTATCTAGAGCATGAGAATTTCTAAGAAGAAATCACCCTTCTTACCTCTACGACTGTGACTTGCTGTCTGCATATAAATGATCTGCATCTGCATCACTCTGCAACCCACAACTAACAACCCCCTGAAGCTAAGAAGTGTAAGCCTGGTCAATACCTGGATGGGAGACCTCCTGGCCAAATTTCCCATTGGCCTATATCAATCAATTATGCTGTCTGCATAAAATTGTCTACATGTTTAGAAGCCATCTAGGGGCAATATTGAGAGATAAGAGACAAAATTCTGTGGGCCAGAAAATATCTGAGGTGGTGGAAGGAAGAGATGTTGTATTCACCAATGAATGCTTGTTCGACTGACCCGATGAAAAACGTCATGTTTTGTTAAAGCCACTGGGTACTGGTCGAACCCATCCAGCTGGCTACAGATGCGGAGGATGAGGGACAGAACATGTCACAGCAATCTGTCCAGAGGCTGATCAGGTCTGTGAGTCAATGCTGTCAGAGCTGTGTGTCTCAATGAATACTATCATTGTAATGTTTTAACTAAGGCAATGTGTTATATTTCATGCTGTAGCATTGCCACAATTATGTGATCTTTAATTTTGTTAATGTTTCATATATTTGTTCTTAGAATATGTAGAACTTAGTATTGTTTCTTTTTTACATCATTTTGTAATCAAAATGATACAATAACCACTGATTCTCTAGTGTTTTTGTGATGCAGACTAAACCCAACGCTAATGCATTTCTCTGATCAACCCCTGAATTGACACAAACCTTATAAAAAAGATGATGGGGCAGTAAGTGCACACTTGGGCTTCAAGTGCCCAGATCTATATTTACAGTACTTAGGGGTAGATGATCCAGCAGGTTTAAAATAGTTTACGCATGTGACATCATAGCATTCATGGGTTGGAAATGTTGCTGTTTAACATATCAGATAACTGGAAGCTATGAAGAGAGTGTTTAACTCTTTCAAACTTAACTGCATGAATGAATTTTTAAATGGAAAGAACTATTGTGTGAACACACATCTGGAATAACGTCAAATCATAAATTAAAATACTGTGATTTAAATAATTTATGCTATATTTAGCATTTTATCTATTTATATAAACTCTATGTAAGGCTACATATTACATGTTCGATATTATGATTCACTGCTACGTAATGTGCACATAGAAATGGGACCAAGAGTCCCACTGCAAAAGCATTTGATTCATTTCTGATGTAATGAGAAAAGCAAGAGAACTAAACACCATATATCACCATAAACTATTGAATCATCTGTTAATTGTCGTAAAAGAACATGTTGTAGAACACTTTATTTGCTGTCAGTATGCTGCTAATGTCTTTTCTCCAAACACTCCCTATAAAATGCCCTGAGGATTTTCTCACCTTTGTTATGAATTGCAGCCTATTGCTGTCGACACATTCCTTGTCATCTCCCAGATGCTGTTTGCACTCTTCTTTCCTATGCTTCTGTCACTGCATTCTAATGAGCTCAGGTTAGGGAACTGCTGTAACCAGCATGCCAGTTTGCAGAGCTGTTGTTTTGACATTGCTGTGCAAGCAATTAAGATTTACTTTAGACATGAGTTTAAAAGCATTAATAGCATTTAAAAACAGATCTTCAATAAGCTTTTTGCCTCCCTGAAAGTATTGTATGGAAGAACACTACAAACATCCCTTTTTTTCTTGTAAGCAGTGTTTGGACTCTTGTAAAAGTGTCGATGAAATCCAGATGTGCCATCACAAGTGCATTGTTATTATGCAACTTTAACACCTTTTTTCATTAGAGCTGAAGGCCACGATCAGTAGATACAGAAAGAATGGTAGGTGCACAATCAGAAAATAGGAATTACCGTAGGAAACCAAATTAGATGAGGCTGATAATTTCCTAAACAAAATGTACAAATAAAACAAACTGCTGACATAATGTGGAATTTTTCAGGCTGAAGATTTTGGCTGGAGCTCTAACCAGCAACTGTATATTTCAGGCACCTGAAATGATGATTTATTTCCCCTCATGCAACATTATGCATGAAGAATGGAATGGTCATGTGCATTTTGTGCAATATTCTATTTATAAGGTACTCATGCTTAAAGATAGAAAAAATCTTATGGGTGATTTGAACTTTAAAAACATTACATCTATAATTTCAGCGGAAAAAAAAAAATTAAAATCCTGAATAATGAAAATGCAATGTTTCGCATTTAACTCTACTATACTTAGCTTGCTTTGAGAATGATAACCTACAGTAGGATATCAGTTAAGTGTTGAGTTATGTCTCTCAGGCCATTTTTGTCATTGCTTACTTATCCCATCAAGGATTATGCTTATGATAGATTTGTTACCCTCTATTTTTCCAGCTCAGTCATACTTCATTTCTCTCTGCTTTCACTGTGAAGCTCACTGCTGCCCTTCGAGAGAAACAGGAGAGCACAACAGAATTTTCTCCTCTGTAAACATAGAAGTGTGCATCTCAGTAGCATCTAAGGTCAGCACCTGTGCTCTATAATCAGCCTGCAACAGGAATGAGAGCCTCATTCACAGAAAGCTTGATACTAAGGCTGGCTTATATTGAAATCTGATGCTGCAGCTATTTCGGATGTTTCAGTATAACCTCTGAACTACTGAACACAAAAATAACATCTCTTTTATATAGTCTATTCTGTAAAGTGGACTTTCAAGACACATACAGTATTAAAGTTTTGGTGCTGCTAAATTAAGTCAACAGTATGTGTATGTGCAGTGCACAAAATGCTCCCTGTGGGAGGTATACAGTGAGTAGCTAAGCACTGGTTAAATCAGTAACTACCTATAAGTCATGTATTCTCATTCTAGTTCTTAACTTCATCTTTCACTTTACCTTAAACATGCCTCTTGCATGGGATTTAAGGAAAGCCCAAGATGTGAACAACTATTAGTTCTGTAATGTAAGACTTGCGGGTTTTGATCAATTGCAATTGAAAAGGACACAAGTCCCCTAAAATTTGTTAAAATCTTTTAAACAGAAAAAAATATAGTTTAAGTTTCTAGTGCAGGAGTGTAACACTTTAAAACAAAAGAGGATTTTAAGATTTCCCCAAAATATATTTAAACACTAATCCTTCATAAAATGAATTTCAAACTTAAGTACTGTGTGATGCTTGGTAATATATTAGTCTTGAATACTTTTTTTTTCAATTTTATTTGAATGTATCCCTTATCTGAAGACATCCTTATTTTAAAGCTGCCTTTTACATTATCTTCCATCCATCCATTTTCTTACCACTTCTTCCAATTCAGTGTTGCGGGGAACCCAGGGCCTATCCTGACAAGTAAAGGACCCAGGGTCGCAGAGCTACAAGGGCTAACAACGCTTCCTGCTGCTCCACTATGCCAGCCTTTTATATTATCATCATGTTCTAATTTACACAGCCTGTTTATTATATAACTCATCAGCTGAGTATTATTACTTTACAGTAAAATATATCAGATTATTAGTCAAAGCAAATTAGGATCATACTTTAATTGAGACAAACTGCGGCACTTAAAAATGGATAACGTCAAATGACGAAGAAGAATAGACATTTCTTTTTCTTAATTCTTTTTGTTCTCTCACATTCGTAGAAGACATGTGTCAGGCCCAATATGACAATTAAGCAGCATTATCCATTTTTTTAAGATCAGCCCTTCATTTATACATTAATTTAGTTCAGTTTCAGGACAACAATCCTATCCTGTCTCATGTGTCCAGCCGCCAGGAGGTAACTTTACAAAGCTGCCTCATAAACACAAGATCCTCATGGCTCATCGCTAGATCCTCATGGCTAGATATAAGACTTACCATCCTAGTCTAAGTCTATGTCTTGCAATTTGTAAAATGTCTGAAAATGTGCAGAGAAAGTCTACTGCAATTATTATAAACAGTAGTTCTATTTTTTTATAGTTTTGCCATCTTCTACGAAAACAACATTATTTGATAAAAGAGTTAAACTCCCTTTATGTTCTCACTGTTA